AACGGGAAGGGCCCCGCGGAGTCCTCCTCGGCAACGGGGAAAAGGGCGGAGGGTAGTAGAAAAGGTCACAAGACGAAGACCTTTGACTCCCCTTTTAAGGTGGATCCAAAGGCGGATGGAAAACGAGATGATCCTGTTTGGCATTTCGTTGCTCGTGGTCGTTATTTAGATGGATCCACTGCGATCGGGAGGAAGAACGGTCGCCGTTGTTTGTGCAGGTTATGCGGTCGTTCTCTATGTGGGGGTGCTCGTGAGGCGAAGGAACACTTTTTTGGTGGCGAGGGGTATAGATGCCAAGTGGCCACTCCGGCAGTGTGGCACACGATTTGGTCAAAGGATATGTCCAAGTGTCCTGCACATTTGGCTTCTGCCGTGCAGGCCTTGCAGAGTCTCCCTCTAGGTCATTCCTCTTTTCAATGGCCACCTCTTCGTTTTCCCGATGACGTCGTTCCGCCGCCCCCGTCGACCGCTGCCCCCTCGCAAGTGGCGCCATCTCCATGTGCACCACTTGCTCCCCTCCCCCCTTGTCTGCTTCGTTAGACGATTCCCGCATCCGTTGATGGCAGACCATCTGTGGCAACGCAGCCTGATGCGCAAGGCACCGTGCCAGTTTCAGGTGTTGGGGAACCTGTGCCGTTCGACGAGCAAGACACTCGTGCTTTCGTCGAGGGCGGTGGGTGGGGGAAGGACGCTGGCACATCATCAAGCCTCGCCCCGTTGTTCACTGGCMACAGGGACAAGGTCCCAAGAGTTCGACGCACAAACACACGTCCGGCCGTGGCAGGAGCACCTGCAACAGGACATCAATCCGCTGCGTATCCATAGTTGCCTCCCCCTTCTTCACAAACACGACGGCCTACACCAGACTTGACTTCGGCACCTGTTGACGAGGTCGCTGCAACGGTCACTGAGGGTGCGGGAAACGTCCAGCTCGACGAGCCCGTCCAGGTTTCGGATTCGTCACCCACTCCTGTGCCCGTGAACGGCCCGACCTCGCAGCACGGTGTTTTTGGGACACTAGATCCTTTACAGAATCTGCGCAACATTGCAGTTCCGAGTCCAAGCCCCACCGCATCACCTGCGGCCGGGGGCGGGGTGTGGGATTCGCTAGGTATGGGCGCCGGTGCACGAGTGAGAGGCACTTACAGGCAGCAGGCGGTGACCTCGTATTACAACGACCCGCTGGAGCACGCATGGCACTTGCAGATCATGCAATTCATTGTCGAGAGCGGCATGCCGTTCAACTGTGTGAAGCTTGAGAGCTTCAAATGCATGTTGACGTTGATCATCCCGCCTGGGGTTCCAGGAGTCCCCATCCCAAAACCACCAACGTATCACATGATCCGTACGACACTTTTGGATGAGCTTGATGTGGAAGTCCAAAAGTCTGTGAAACCTGTCCTCGCTACCGCAGCTACCTACGGTTGCACGATAATGACAGACGGTTGGACCAACATTCGGGGCCAAACGTTGTGCAACTATCTCGTCGGCACTACACGGGGCGCCACATACGTCGCGACAGATGTTATGCGAGGAAAGAAGGATGCCACTGCTCTGGCGCAGGCTTGGCTGCGAAGGTTGAAGTCCCTTGACATCAAGGTCGCCGACATCACCGCTTTCGTCACAGACTCTGCCAGTTCGAACGTTTCTGCGATGGGGGTGTTCCAGAAGGATGAGAGTGTCAAGCACATCTTCTGGATTCCTTGTGTGGCACACGTCATGGACCTCATCCTTGAGGACATCGGCGACATTGACTGGGTGGCGATCCGCATTGCCCAGGCGCGTTTGGTCACAAAGTTTTTCAAGCGTCATAGCCAYGCTCGCGAAGTTTTGCAAGCTTTCACGACGAAGGCTCTGCTGCTTCCCGCCGAGACTCGCTTCTGTACGCATGTGATTATGATGCGACGACTTCTTCTGCTGCAATCGCATCTTATGCAGGTGGTCGTTGATGATCGATGGAAGGACACTTTTTGGTCAACGAAGAAGATTCGAGACGACGCCGCGGCGGTCACAGCATGTGTCGGTTGTCCGCAATGGTGGGAGGATATGAGAACGCTGTGCAAGTTATTGGATCCCATCATGGACATGCTGCAGATGGTGGACAGCGACACGAGGCAGATTGGCAAGATTCTGCGTCGGTACGACGAGATGATCCCGCGTTGTTTGTCTGCATGTGCCGCTTTGGAGAAGGACGAGTAGGACGCGCCGCTTGAAGTGTTTCACAGATGCCGCACCATGCTCAAGTCGCCTGCTCATGTTGCTGCCATGATGTTGGACCCCKAGTTTCGAGACCGCACGATGCCAGATGAAGAGGAGATGCAGCACGGTTTGAAACTTGCTCTGATTCAGTTTGGGTACCCGGAACATTCGGATCAGCACACCGAGGTCCTCACTGCCATTGACAAGTTCCATTCCAGGGAGCCGCCGTTCGACGACGTGGCCATGGAACGGGCGGCGAGGAGCTATACCCATCCAGCCTGTTTCTGGGAGTCGAAGGAGAAGAGGTTCCCGCACAYGGCCTTCTTCGCTGGCAGGATACTGCGTGTGTGGGCGACTGCGTCGCCTTGCGAGAGAGCTTGGTCCCGTTGGAGTTTCATCCACTCCAAATCTCGTAACAGATTGGAGGTGGCGCGGGCCGAGAAGCTCGTGCGATGCCATTGGAACCTTCGGCTCCTYGACAGGCAAGCTATGTCGGACGATGCTCCCAGTGACAGGCCACATCCGTATGGGAGCTGGGTGCACTACTGGCAGCAGGTGGAGGAGGAGGTGCCCACCGACCAGCAGCTTGTGGCAGACCGAGGAGCCCGTGTGACGTTCACGAAGGAGGAGTTGATGCAGGCGAGAGAGAGGATGTGCGTCGTGTCCCGCATGGGAGCCACTCGTCGCTTGCGGGAGTCTGACAGGAGGAGGTGTTGTGGCGGCGGTGGCGAAGGTGGTCGTCGGGGCGGTCGCGGGCGAGGCGGGCGTGGAGGTCCTGGCGGGAGGCGTAGTGTCGCGAGTCGTGGAAGGGCAGTGGACGAGCTAGTACGCAAGCCTCGACAGCGATGGGATGAGGGAGACYTTTTGTACGAGAGCTCATCCAGCGATGACGAGGATTTCTTCRGGACTGGCAGACCTGCACAGGATGGCGACAGCGATTTCGACGACCGTCACCCGAACGTGGGCGATGACGATGGCGCCAGTGGCGATGATCACGGTGACGGAGGAGATAGACCACGACCTGCACATGGTGACACAATGCGCGTCGACGGGGCAGGGGGCGAGCACCGCACAACAGTAGATGATGCTCGAGATGGAGTGCATGATGATGGTTCACGACCTGTCTCGGGCGGTGACCTGAGGCGCTTGAAACGCGGACCAAAGGAAAAAGACACTATCGCTTCACGTGTACACAAACGTCATGTACGGTGTACGGTGGCCCGGTGGGTGGGGTACTATGTTGGCAACTTGGAAGGGTGTGGCATT